AGTCTTTGGCTGGGGAGACGTGAAAACGATCCTCCCGCCCCTCTTCGCTTCTCGTTGACTCAAAGGTTTTAACTCCAATTAGCAACCTCAATAGTTCTTCTCCAAAAGAAACAACTGTGAAAAACACAGCGCGTCAGCCGTAGGAAGAATGGGGTAATCAACAGAAGGACCAAATACGCGGAGCTGCCGGAGGTTTAAATTGTGCTCGGAGGCAGCAGCACGAAGGGCCGCAGCAACCGCATCTCGTTGCGCGGGCACAGCATGTGCGTCTGAAAAATGCTGCTGGAGGAGATCTGAAATACCAAGTGGAGCGGCCTCCTGTGCCACAAAGAGCAGAGTCCCCACACCGCAAATTCGACGCCGCAGCAACGCAGACAATGTTGTTCGCCACTCTTCCTCCGACGATAACTGGTCTGGATGATGCTCCAAATAAACCACATCCTGCCGGCGGGCATCCAAGTCTTCGATACGTGCACATATGGTGGTTTCACAAACATTAAAGACAGATGAAGTGTGATTAGATACCAGGTTTTCCCGTACACGGTCTACCAGAGCACCATCTGATTCAGCAATCAGTACACTCTTCGCAGACATCACGGCATTTAGTGCCGCCGACCCGCTACGATCATTAACGCACAAAACACGTTTGCCGCGACAGACTTCACGGAGCACAAAACGTATCCTGCGATGCGCTGGGTTAAGCAACCACCTATTGCTTCTTGTTGCAGGGACCTCTGCTGATGGAACCCACAAGTGCCTCGTGCCATTCTCAACGTACACTGCCGAGAGAGGAATGGTGGGATGAACGAGGGTAAGTTTTTCGCGGTCCTTCAGGCACGGCGTATCTAAAAGCAGTTGCTCAGACCCCTGACGCCTCAATAACTCTGAAACAGCAGGAACGAGTCGTTCAGCTCCAAAGGAAGTTGCCACAATGCGGGCAAAGCTAGAAGAATAGAGGTCCACGTACATGGATGGAATACCATCCGCAGTGCCGTTCAGCACTCGGTACGTGTTATTGTCACCGTTCACCATTGAGCCAAACACACGCCGACGTTTCTCCCATGCTTCCCGCAATCGATTTAGAAAGAATTCCTCGTCAATGATAGGCAGCTCAGAGACCGTTTGTGAGGTCATATGAAACACGTCTACACGAAGAAGCGTTGGCTCGTAGAATCCCAACGCAAGCAACTGATGGCGATCCGAATCCCGTATCTCCACAATGCTCCCAGAGGCAATCTCCCGGCGTGCGAACTCCACGCTGTTCGCGTCAAACGAGGTGAGTGAAATGTCGCATTGGCGTTTGTGTGTGAGAAGACGGTGCTGCTGCGGGCGAAGTTTCAGCTGTGGAAACTTCTGCGCCGGTGCAAGACGATTGGGGAGCAAAGGAGCAAACACCTTGGACCACATTCACGCAACCTGCCTAGTCCCCGCCGCCTCCTTCTATTTATATTTTTACTCCTCTCTCCCTTTATCCCCGTAGCAGGGAACACCCCTCTGACCTTAGGAACAAACGCCGTGTATGCGAAGAGAGAGAGAGAAGAAAAAAAAAAAGGAGACAGACACAGCAACAATAACGAAAGGGCAAAGACGGAAGTGCAAAGCCTTGTTTCACTAGTCAGCTGCCCCCGATGTGAGTGCAAGTCAGAGACATATGCAGAGAAATAAAAAAAAAGACAGCAATAAGAACGAAGGCGTTTAGGTGAAGTCGGAGAAATACGATGGGTGTAGACCGACAAAAGTAGACACACGCACACACACATACACACTTTATGCGTCATTGGCAGAGAAGAGATATCGTGACTCCCACCAGTCTTCTCGCTCCTCCGCCTCTTCACAACTAGACGTTCCACGATAGTTTTGAAATCCACCGTGTCGCTGCTGAACTGGACCACGGTAGTCGAGCGTAAGCTCCTCGCCGACACCAATGTCTCTGACTGCTCGAACCACAACGGCGCGCCTAGGGATGGTCACACAGGCAGCGCAATTATGGTTAGCTGAACCGTGGTTCAAAAAATCCACAACAGGTGCAATGACCGATGTTACACGATCAGAAGACCTTTCATCCCCAAAAATTGTGGCCATCCGCAACAGACGTGCCCGCACAACATAGATTGCTGCAAGCAGCGTAGCATCCAAATCCGATGGATGTGCGTCATAGAACGCGTACTCTTCTTGTGGAGCACAAGTGAGTATGCAATCCCGAAGATTCCATGCAATTTGCTCAATATTGGAGTGAACATTTGCCTCGTCCTCAACGTCAGAAAAGTAGGGTGCCTCCAAACCATACAAAATATGTTGCTCCATGGGAATAGACTGAAGGTACAGATCCGCCGGATGAGAATTTGAAGGACCCAGCGCGGGCCTGCCGGCACCCTCCCGATTTTTCAGCAAGACAACTTTACGCCAAAAGTACCGCAGTGCTACTGAAACGGCCAGTGAGGCTTCCACAGGCGAGAGGGTAAGCGTGACCACCTTGTTGTCCTCTGTTGAGACGGAGGCGCTAAGAGAGACACCCGCATCTGACGCGCCGGACGAGAGTCGCAGCAACCAGAGCTGAGCCTCTGGGAAAAGTGCAGACTGGTTCCAACGTCGTAGTTGTCGGGGGTTACGCGAGGCATGTGGAAAGTAGCAGTAGCGAAGCGGCACATGCATCAGCAAATCGCCTCGATGAAACCGCCTTTTCGCTATCATTCCACGAATGCCATCGTGTGGGCGATGTACCTGCGCCATGGGAGCTGTCCAGGCCCTCAATGCGCGAGCCAACGTCATTGTTATCCCTGTCAACAACTACTTCGCGACCTTCTTCACAGGTTCTACAAACTTATTTATGTATTTAACAGTGCAATAAATCCTACCGACCCACACACAAGCGAGTTACAAGCCAACAGAGTAAAAGAGGCAAAGAGAAAAGCACTATGAAGGAGTAAGAGACCTCTCAAACATGGTGGAGCTCGAGAGATGGCAAGAAAACAAGCAAGGAAGAAGCAAAGCAAATCAAAAACAAAAGTCATGGGGAAGTAGGCATCTGCGGATAAACTAAACAATAGGATATCTGGCGGGAACGGGTAACAGAACGCAGTTGATGATTGAAAAACAACAGGCCTGTAATTGCAGGTTCCGCTGATGACACGATATACCGAAAAGCGGGGGGGAACACAACAACAGCAACGATATGAAGCACGGACAACAGTCAGGCATGCCAGGCATATTCCATTAAACACCATTTTAAAAGAGAAGCTCCAGTAAACTACCACCATCAGCAACAGATAGAACAGAGGGAAAAAGGAGAGATACACAGAAGAAAGAAAATCAAATTCACACTCACAGAAACAAAATCACAAATGAGGAAGTGAAATGAAGGCAAATGCACATAAAAAAAAAAAAAGGACCGCATCTACAACGCCTCCGGCACAACCAATTACTGATTTAGCCAAGCCCAGGTGCAGCACACAGACAAACACACATTATCAAGACATCACATATATCTCAATATATATATAAGAAAAAACTTCATTTTGTGAAACTAACCTCTTGAAAAACTCACTTCTTTTGCTTTCTAAAAATTTTTGAAATGAACGAAAATTTCCATTTTTTGCTCTTTTCAGAAGTAGCACCCTTCAATGGCATTTTTCTACGACCCACACCCGGTCCTTTTCCTTCAACACTCAGTTCTTTCTCTCGTTGTCTCTCGCTAATGGGAGCTTCAACGCGGGACTTCACGCCTTTTCCATTGTGTGCGTCATGCAAGCTGCTGGTAATCATCGATACTGTCCTTTCGGTCTCTGGAGACTCCCGCTGCGCAGAGGGTTGTGAGAAAATTACGTAGGAGTCGACTGGAGACCCCTTAGAGATTTCTTGAGAGTTTATGAACATCTTGGGATTAGACACAAAGGTCTCTGAGGATTCTCGTGACAAGGAAGACAAGGATGCCCTTGGTTTGCTGTGTTGCATAACCCCATCGGCCTCATCTCTCCCCGATGCTTTGAGTTCATCATTCGTGGCATTGTTTGCTTCTTCTTCTCCCACGTAGCTCGTGGGGTATGTCTGGTTTGTGGATAGCTTCCGTGACGCACAGAGACCCTTGCAACTAAAGGTGTCAACATTAAGACTATTGAGAATGCTAAAATTCAACCCACTGGAATGGGGAAAGGATTTCGGTTCTGAAGGCCCATCGTTTTCTACTGCAGCAGACGTAGCTGTAGCTTCTGCCTCAGTGGGCACTGAGGTTTGCATCTCAAGCGCTGACTGATTATTTTGTCCTTGTGGTGAGGCAGAGCGCTGCGGCTCAAGTTCTGAAGCCGATGATGCCTGAACAACCTCAGCCATAGGCAGGGTAGAAGAAGGCTTAAAGAGTAACTGAGACGATAGTGACAACGTTCCCGTAAAAAACGTGGAGCTGCGACGGGCCGGCACGTCGGCCGCATGGTTGGATTCCCGAGCCTCTTTTTGGCGTGGAAAAAATTTTACTTGCTTCTCGGTGAAGTCTTCAGTGTGCATCATATCAGGAGTTGCAGGAGCACGAGACGGATAGCCATTGAGAGAATGGGCCGAGCTGCCGGAGGCACATGAAGCTAATTGTTGATGCTTCACCTCCGGGGGAGAAGAGTCGGCTTTGGTTAGGCGCGCCTCCCTCGACGTGAGTTCATCCAGCTCACGTGTGCGTCTTCCACATCCACCCTCTATTCTGCCAGCCTGCTGGCACATCATTCCCTCCATGTGTTGCACACGAGATCGCATGACCCGCAATTCGTCTTGAAGTGCGTCTATTAGTTTTTCCCCCCGCTGCTTCTGTGAAGGATGGGCAACCTCAAACGGTGTACCAGGCAGCTGATGCGCCGGTAACGTCACAACACTAATGGGGGAGAAAAGCGAAAAATTCGCATCAAGCCGCCTCTTCTCCTGTGTAACCGCCATAGCCTCGCGAAGATCCATCACTTCTGCTCTTAAAGACGCAAGTTCTTTTGTCAATGCATCGCTTGGCCAAGGCGTATCCGCCACTACTTTGTTTTGTGCTGCAGTAGTGGCAGCTGTCATCGCTGCATACTGTGCTCCACGATGGTGGCGCTTATTCAGATGCGACTCCAGCGACGAGGAGGACGGGTAGCCATTTCCACACAGGGAACACGTAAAGAAGCGTCCAGATTTCTCTACACACGAGAGGTGATGAGACACCGCTATTCCAGCGTTCATTCCATCCCGGCTGTTTGACACACGGCGCTGCCTCATCTGTGCAACCGTCTCCCGTAACACCACGAGTTCCTCAAAGAGTTCATCCCTTTCTTCACGTAATTCCTCGGCTCTTCTTTGCGCATCCGCCACCTCTGCCTCGAACTGCCTCTGACAGTAGACAAGATATTGAATAGTGCACTGCATTACGTGGCACACCTTCTCCGTCATCTCGCGTGACTTCTCCGAGAAAAACCACTCCTCCGGTAGCCGCAGCACGTGCCAGCCAATTTGACGAATCGTTTCCCTCTTAACTGCACCGCTTGTGACGTTGTCCGCATTGTACAGGACTGGTCCATTGACAACGGCAAGAAATGCGAGGTCGCAGGGTGGCTGATGCAGCTGAAACTCAAAAGTCATCTGGACCGACGTGGATCCACTACTCCCCTTCACCTTTCCACCCTCACACCCTATCGCAGCTTGGCGCGTACGAAAAAAGACAAAGATCAAGAGCGTATATATATGACACCAGTGTGCAGCAAAAAACAAAAACAAAAACAGGAGCACCACCCGCCCTCTTCTCCGTTGAAAACCCCCTTCGTCTATTCTCGTGTTTACCTCCCCTACTAATCCTCCCATTTTGCTTTCGTTTTTTGCCCACTGCCTTCGCACCTTGCGCTTGTAATCCCCTAAATAAATATACAGACATATGCAAGGAACACATTTAGTTTTGCAAATTCTCATTGCCCTTATAATAAAATGATAATTTGCACCCGGATCATATAACTACACCCCCCTTAGCGAAGCCGTGAGCCACATTAACGTGGTGCCAGGGTTCAGCACCTCGCTGAAAAGGAAGCTAAGAAAAGGCAATGGATCTCTTTGAAGTGCTATAAACTTACGATATCGGCATCCGGGCTTTGGGTGATGCTGAGTTCAGAAGAACCAAGACAAGTGAAGTAGATTTACCACCCAACGGCAGTACGTGCCAACGCATAGCGCCACAACACAGTTGGTAACGAAGTGTAACGATTATACACACGTGTAAAAAAAAAAAAAGCATCCACTTTTCAAATGGGAAAAAAATAAAAAAAATAAAAAAAGAAGGCGCGTTAATTATGCATATCCAGTGAAAAACGATACAGTTACGCAGGGTGATTCATGACGGCATTAGTCACTCCCTCATACATGGGACCAAAGAACAATAATAATAATGGATATATGCATAGTACAGCGTTAATGATCCACGCTGTAGTACTGATTTAAAAACTCCCGTAGTACGTCCTTCACGATACTGCGATCGCCTAATCGTTGCTGCAAACCATAAACAGTTGCCCCTGTTTCGCCTCGTTTTATATTCCTACCTTCCTCTTCTGCCTGCTTCACCGCGCCGTACATCTCGTCACCGATGTCCGTCAAGTCGTGAATGAAGCGGTCTGCCACTCCCTCCTGTGTCTGAAGTAGTGTTACCGAAAACTGAAGACCAGATGGAAACTGAAGTCGGTTGAGCACCCATCCACGCTCCCCTAGGCGATCACCCAGGACATAAATGTCAATGTAATCGCTATTAAAAGCAAACACAGAGGTGGTAGGATCTCCTATAATTGAAATGTAAGGTAATTTGCAAAGCGCAGATGTGATTTTCATACGAGTTTCCATAATTTTACGACAATTGTCTACATAACCCTCTTCTCCCATACGAACCATAGCTGCCCATGCTCCCGCGATGACATTGCCTGGCTTGGAGCCACTCACTGCAGAGGAACAGTAAATGCCACCTGGCCACTCTGCCACACAGCAGAACTGAAACGAACGCAACTCTCGGGTTCTGTAGAGAACAGTCGATGTGCCTTTGGGTGCGTATCCATATTTATGTGTATCACAACTTATCGTCGTGACACCAGGGAGACAAAAGTCCACAATGGGAGCGGAAAAGCCTGCCTTCTCCATAAAAGGCACAATAAACCCACCCAAACAACAATCTACATGAAGACCAACTTCATGACGGCATGCCACTTCGGACAATTCACTGATAGGATCAACCACGCCATGGGGAAAGGTTGGCGCAGACCCAACAATGGCGACAGTATTGTGTTTTATGTATTTTTCTACCTCCTTTGCATTGATTCTCTGTGTCACAGGATCAACCGGAATTTTTATTAGGGTAATACCAAAATACTCAGCTGCTTTGTCAAAGGCCGGATGTGCAGTGATACCCACAACAACTGAGGGATGCTCAATACCTCTCCTGGCACGTCCCCAGCCGCGATACGACTTCATCGCCATCAGAATGCTTTCTGTACCACCAGAGGTAACGGTGCCACAAGCATCGGGGAGAAAATGCCCATTAAACATGTGGACCACCATTGAAACCACCTCCGCTTCCATCTTGCGTGTGGCGCCAAAGACGTCGCAGTGGAGTGGGTTACTCCACTGAAATACTTCCATGACACGGTTAATCAACGCCGTGTGCGAGGCTCCCCCATGGTACACGGCTCCACTCAAGCTACCCATCTCGTACGGCTTATCAAGATCCTTGTGAAGGGTATGCACGATACTGAGAACATTCTCATCTGTTGTGGCCTTCTCTGGTAGTTTTTTCGCCTTGAATTCACTTTCCTTCGCCGGCATTTTAAACATCTTGGCAGTCTTCTTCACCTCTCGTTGAATGATAGGGGCAGCAACGGCACGCACGACGCCCCACTTTGCCAAGTTTAAACGCTTAAGCAGGAATCCGTCGCTGAAAATGTCTGCCAGTACCTTGGCGGCCACAAGGGTGGCAACTGATATGTAAACAATATCAGATGGACGCCTTCCTTCAAGAGTCCCGTCAAGTAAAGTTGACAGTGTCATGAGGCGAAGTTACTGAAGGTACTCACCTCCTACAAAGAACAAGCATGCTGAGAAACCAGAAGCAAATAAGGGCATGTATGCAGGACTTCAACACCGCATCTGACAAGCACACACACACACACACATAAATACATACGTTTGTCGTCACCGCCCCACGCAAGAAGATGAACCAATAAAAAGAGTCATGTGCCTTTCGCTTTGAAATCTTCCTTTTGCTCCCATACTGGAGAAAATCGGAGAGAAATCTAAATGCTTCCTGCCCCGCACGGGTGAAGCGGGCAAGGCACACTGCCAAGGCCGGCCGGGCCTGCCAAAAAATCCAGCGTTAACAAAGGAAGGAAGGAAAATACAAATGAATCAAAAGAAAAAAAAGCCTCCACTTTTTTTCCAGTTCCTTCTCTAAATTTTCTCTTTATTTCTCTCTCTCTTTCTTTCTTTCTCTCTCTCTCTCTCTCTTGCTGGTTCAATTGGGGGGGGCAGAAAGGCAACGCCTGCCTAGCTGACTGCCAGGACCAACGCACCGCCGATATTCAAATCATGCTCTTCTATCTCACCTTGGCATCACGTCATGCATTTCACCACGCATACGTATGTAACAAACCAACCAGCCGAACAACATAACACGCGCACACATGCACTATTTTTTTTTTCTCCGCTCATATCATCAAGACAAGACTGTCAAGGCTTCTCCAGGATAAAAAATAAAGCACGCTGCTATGCGAGGGTGCAGGCCAGTGAGAATGACGCCGCGATCACTTCCGTTCAAACCGAGACGTAGAGTCCCCTCCCGCACCTCGTACGTAAAGCGAAGCACATCACCGTTGCGACACAGAGGGAGTTGATGAACAAGAGGGCTAAAATGACCAATACGCCCGTCGACGACACCGCTCCTCGTAGGACACCAGTAGAAACCCTCTGGAATGGTAGTGGCATCTGTTTTCTCAACAACGCCAAGGAAGGACTCTGCAATGGATTCCAGGCGTACTCGCCATGTAACGCAGCCCCCATCTTCAGGAAAGAGACGAACAACGTTTTCCATAAGCTCCTTGCTCCGCACACCTATTTGGGTCACTCCACCTCCTCCACGTGTAACACAGCGCAACAGAATACCGTCACTTTTCACCGTGGCCTCCACATCGTCATCCACAGGAAATGTAAGTCGCAGCGGTGTTTCTGCTGACAGTCCAGATGCCGCAAGGAAGCGTCGGTTGCCATTCATGGATTCACCCGGTTGACGTGTTGTTAGGCCGCCAGAAGGAGGCCCGTTAGCCATCATCTGCTCCACAGGGGCGGACTTCTGTGGCTCCGCAGCATGCACAGTTTGCAGATCCAACTGGAGATCCAAGCCTGAAATCACCATATCACCGAGGTTGGAGACCTTAAACCCACTTCCAAGAACAGACGGGGTCTCGGTCTTGAGAAAACTATAAAGAATGGAGCGACTCTCCAGTACCTCGTGGTCGGAACCACTATGCTGTATGTGTTGAAAGCGTAGCATGGCCTCATTCAACGCATTGAGCTTCATCAAAAACAATTTACGTGACGCTATAAGTGAGGCATCACCTGACTCTCTCAAAGCTGCAAGTAGCTTGCGTAATTCTACCTCACGCTGCATTAATCGTTGCTTGAAGTGCTCAAAGCGTTCTGTGAGAATGTTTTCAACGCTATCGTAGGAAGTAAAATATTGTGCCGTCACACGATTCAGTTCACTGGCTTGACTTTCAAGACACATCTTTTTCTCCGTGATCAAGCTCATGTCTCGCGACAGTTGTTGCCTGACATCGGCCGCTGCCCGTGCAATGCTAGTATTATCATGGTTTTTGTGTTGTCCAACCTGAAGACAATACGCACAACACATTTCCTCGCACTGCAAGCAATAAAACTCGGCTCGGTACTCTTCATGGCCGCGAACGTGACATTTTTTTTGTATCCCTCGTAACTTTTGTTGAACTCCAATTCTTCCCGTCACATGGCCACGCTTCGCAGCGCTCTTGTGTACAGCAGCATTGCAATCGCTGCAGTAGACGAACATGCACTCACTGCACTGCATTACCGCGGGAGCCTCCTCACACCACTGACAAATACTTTGGCCATCGTCCCCGTTTGCAACAATTTTCACATGACTGGCAAGAGCTGCATCAGCAAACTCATGCAGGTTTCGCACTGACACCGTGGGGTAGAGCACAGTACAGAGAGGACATGCAAAACCATCCTCGTTTTGCAAATCTAGCTTGTTGCGCACACAGTCAGCACAGTAACTGTGCTGACAGTCAAACGTGAGCGGGTTGTTGAAAACGTTAAAACAAAGCCCGCATGTGACGCCGCGGGGTTCTTCAATACTGGCGGCGATGTCAGTTGCCATGAGAACACCTACCCACCCCGTACACTTCAGTTCACTTGCTAGCTGTAACGTATGCCGCGACCACCCCAACGTCTCTAACCACGTCCCCACAACACCGCAACGCAGGCATGAAAAAATAAAAGGCAAAAAAAAAAAATGGCTCGAGATACTTTGAAGTATGAGCACACACAAATAACCGTCAACAACGCAAAAGAAAGGTGACACAGAGACACATCAAAATCCAAACAAAAAAAAATGTAAAGCATTAACAGGCATCCAAAAACATTGGTTGCCTTTGAGTGTCTATGCATATGGAAAAGAACAAGCGGATATTTCTGCAGGTGTTGAGAATGCCGCACAACATCAAACGCAAACCTCAGCTCAAAATCTGTGCCCGACCCCGGTTCACAGGAAAAGGCGAATAAACAAAAGAGAGTCAAAACGTAGGTACACACCTCTAAGTCCCTCTCTCTACAACCACACATCCTTGATTTGTTTTGAACTCTCCCCCTCACTCTCCCAAAAAGAATAACAAAACAGAACAGAATTTCCCTACCGCACAGAGAAACGTGCACCGCAATATAGAGGGATTTACAGACCGAATGAATTCAGGCAATAAGGATTCTTCTTCTTTTTTTGCTTCTTCCTTCACCCCGTTTTTTTTTCCTCTTATTCTTTCTTGGTCGTTGTTGCTGCTTGGTTTACCTCTCGTATGTGGGGTTGTGCGTCTTTCCTGCAAAATCCAATTCAATCGGACTTTGCCCGTCTGACAAATAATAATTGCAGTAGCAAGCCTCAACCACACAGATGTAGTATCATCCTCTTCATTCTTCGGGGTGCTTCTCATATTACATGTATGTGGACACAACATGTGTGGGCGCGGTCCACAAACAAATAAGTGAGGCACCGTATCCTCCCCGTATGCACCGTCTTACTCCATCCAGCTTTGCTTATTTATTCACATCAGGAGGTGCACACATTTAGGATCCATGCAACGCCTTCCTCCAGACCCATACCGGTTTTGGCACTGCATCCCTGAATGTGCCACTTTCGATCACGAAACTCCTGCAGATGGAGAGTCTCTGCAATGACTTGTGGCGGCTTTGCCGTCGCCAGATCTTGTTTGTTGGCAAAGACTAGAACAGGAACGCCCTGAATTCCGCTTAGCACATCCACGAACGACGCGTAGGTTTCTTCGAGGCGGCGGTGATCAGAAGAATCCACGACGTACATGATGCAGTCTGTGTTGTTGTAATAGTCCTGCCAGTACTCCCTCAACGCCCGCTGACCGCCAAGATCGCACAACTTCGCGCGCCGGCCAGCACGCGTCAGGGTCTTTATGTTAAACCCCTGCGTTGGGCCCTCCGGCGCGGCGGGTGTGCAGTGAGCCTTTTCGAAGTCGGGCACATCGTTCTCACAAAGCGTGTTAAGCAGCGTCGTCTTCCCTGCATTGTCAAGTCCCACGATGAGCACGCGCGGCTCATTCTCGCGTCTCACTCGGTTCCGTAGGCTCTTTAACATTAAAGCAGCGTGGCGTGTGCACGCGGTGACTTGTGGCTTCTCTTCTGGAATGCCCCAACCGCAAATCACAAACACACGGAGCGAACAGCAACAAAATCAACAAAAAAAAAAGAAACAAAAAATGGCATTACAAAGCAGCCGAGCAACGCATAACGCTTCTTCTTCACACTATAAGCAACAACCAACGCGAGCCTACGCAAAAACAAAACAAAACAAAAGTCACACCATCGGCGTGGTGCAAACCACACTGCATTAACTTCATCTGTACCAGGACACCCCCCCCCCCTCCCTCCACCCAAAAAAATATATATAAATATATATATAAACATAAACAGTAAAACGTGACAACATAAAGCGGCATCACCAAATAAAGCTAGTATAAAAAAAAAAAACCCCTGTTGCTTTTGTGATGAAAGTGCAAGCCATTCAGGACGATGGGCGGCAGAATGCGCAGACGCCGCTGTTTAAGCATGACTGCAAAAGCTGGGTACTTTGGATAGCCTGATCCCGTGAGCCAATAGTGTCAGCGAGCCACTGGCCAAGCTCCACCGAGCGGCTTGTCAAGTCCGCAACTTCGCGATCTAACGCCGCCATTTGTCTCGCATGATGCAGCCGAAGCTCTTCCAACTCACGTTGCTCCGCCTCCAACTGCTCCTTCAACTGGATAGCAGCGATATCTTCACCCACACGTAGTACATGGGCAGAGCACGTATCAGATTGTGGTGTTGCCCCTACGGTGAGGCCGGCGTTCCGCAATGCATGTGCCTCCATCATATCCTTAATCACTCGTTCCAGTCGCTCCTTCTCAGAACACAAACGGACCAATTCGGCGTCAAGTTCCGCGATGCGTTGTTGAATTGGGGCCGCCACATCATCCTTTCCCCAGCAACGCTGCACCTCCCCCAATTCCTGTGCGTGCCCACGCCACGTCGTCACGAGGGTGCTCGCCTTCTCCATCTGACCGCGCACGTGCTCGATGAGAAGTGCCTCTTCCACCTCACTCTGGCGAACTGTGTCCATGCCAGCCATTACCTGCAGCTGCAGCTGCCGCTGCTCTTCCAGAAGATGGTCCAGCTCCTTCTTAAGCTCCACCGTGCGAGCCTCATTTTGTACACTCTGCTGTTCCAGCTGCTGCTGCTCCTCAGTGGCAAAGGCGAGTCGCGTCTCCGCCTCCTTGCGCTTCATCATGACAACACGACGGCGTGTCTCCACCCCGTTGAGGTGATCCATCAATGAAGACACCGACGACTCCATCGCATAAAACCACAAAATGAGAAGCCCAATTTTCTGTCCTTGTCTTTTTGACGTGTTTCCTTCCTTCCTCCTCCTCTGTCTTGTGTGTCTTTGTTTGCCTTACAGGCGGAAAAGCGCCGTCTCAAAGCCAGACACCACTCCTACCCCAGCATAAACAACAGCAACAGCAAAGGAAAAAAAAACGGTAAGAATAGGAAATAATCTGCAACATGAAAATACATCAATCGTATATATATATACTCACAGTCTTAGCCTTGGCTCAAGACTGTGAGTTCTCTGAACAGCCCTTATAAGCTTCTTTTTGTTTTTGTTTTTTGTTTCACTTCTTTGTGTAACATCATCTAACGAAAGATCACTTCTCCACTCCCCTCCCTGTACATGGTTAGCACGTCCCAGGTGCTGACTATACTCTATTTTAAGTGCGTCTTGCAGCAAAAAATTTCAACTTTATACTCCCTTAGGAGATTCATCCAAACACACTTCGGAATCCTTGTAAAGCCCCATCTCAAAGTCGGCCTGAATAGCCCTATCCAACGCCTCGCACTCGCACTTCATCCAGTGTTTAATAAACTGTCCGTTTGCCGCTGTTAGCGAATACCTTGCTGGCGCAGGACGCACACCCGAGACCAACGAGGCTTCCTCAACTTCACTCTTGCTGTCTTCCTCATCCACTTTCCCCCCCTCATCTTTTGCTTCGGAAGCTACATTCGTCTCTTTGTTTAATTCCAGCGGCGACAAGTAGCCAGCCAACATCTCATACGCTGCCCAGAGAGACTCATCACACTGTTCCACGATACAGGGAAGAAGAAGTTGGCAAATGCGACGTGCCTCTTCCAGTGAGTTGTCCGGCGACACCACAGATATTGTCACATCAAAGCGGCATCCAAACAGTACCCCACGCACCGTCAGAAATAAAAGTTTTTGCTCCAACAAACACTCCGCTCCAACCACCTCCCCCACCTCCAATGAGAAGGGAATGCCCTTGGCTAAGACGGCAGCAATCATAGGTGTCTCTTGCAGCAGTTCACTAAGGCATTTGGTGAGTACGCTATGAGAGATTGTCACCTGTGCGTATGCCCCAGATGGAAAAAGTGACTCCTCCTCAATGCACAAGTCGTAAAAGACGCCGGTGGAGACACACATGACACCAGCTTGTGACATCTCAACTTTTATAGGGGAGAGATGGGGTGCAAGGAGGGCACTATATCCATCTAACCGGATAACAGAAGCACCGCTAGCAGGCATGGCGATGTGCAACACGATGCATTCCTTGTCAGATTTCCCTTCTAAAAGAATACTACCAATACGTAGGCTGGGAAGCGTTGCCGTAATCCCAATACACCCCGGTAAAATAGTTGCGTACGCATCTCCCCTAAAGCCCACAAACTCAATCGTCCCAGTTCCAAATGCCTTTACTTCGGAACAACGCATACTGAGGCTCAATGAACACACAATAGGAACCGCATGCAACCATTCGTTCTTCTTTATTTGCGGTAAAGTGTTAACCATGTAACCTCCAAGTTGAATTAATTTTGACAGATGCAGATCTACCACCTGCAGTACAAGAGTCTCATATCTACGATCTAGGCGTACCTGTAGAAGGCAACAATCATAACTACCACACGTGGGGATGGTTAGGGTTCCCGCTAAGGTGAAGTAAGGCTCCACAAACGACTGTGAAGCTTCTCCAGTCATGAGATCAAACGAAACCTTCAGGTTGGTGAGAAAGGCATCCGAAAAACGGCAAGTAAGAGGCAAATGGGCGCTTGGGGACGTCCCACAAATCGAAATTTGTTCCTCCATTGGTTCAAAACACCCTACAAGACTTAGTTGTATGGGTGGATCCACATTCGCCCCTTTAAATACAGTGTCGTGAGTCACAAAGGTCACCATCTGGGACCGGTCCTTCTCAGTTTCTCGTTGTCCAATTGTTATCAAGGCCGCTCGTTCATCGTCGAGGTGACTTTCCGCTACGAGCTGAACTTCAAATTCAAAACTTCCAATCGTCAGACCCGGTATGCCAAGGTTAATACCCTCCCCCGGTAATGTAAACCGCACGAGGCCTGTATTGCTCTGCATTGAGGGTGACGTAAACACCAACTCCGTTTCATATTTCGAAAGAAATTCTTCCGAATAAATCATTTGAAGGCAGTCAAACAGAGGAGATGGACATACAGCAATAGGAATGCGTTGAATAAAGTTCACACCGGGTAGGATTTTAAACGGAAATATTGCGGGAAATGGATCTGCCCCGGGTATTGTTAAGTTATATCGGGAATTGAAGACCACCTGGTTAAGAGTAAATACCATCACCATATGACGTCCTGTAAATCCGGCGTCGTAAAGAAGTGGAAGTTGTGGAAAATGCTCCGCCGCAATCCAGTCGCTTCGCTCAATATGTACTGTAATAATAACAGATGCCAGATGTGGACTTAAGGGATTCAAAAAAGACTTCAACAAAAGGTCTAGGTTTCTCTGCACCTGTAGGGACAGACTCCATAAGACTCCAAGGGAGGCGCGTAAGCGGTGAAATCCGTAGAAGCTTTCCACCAAAGTACCCTCTTGAAGGAACATTGGATAAAACCACGACATATTTTCATTTGATCGCACCATATCACGCGCCAATAGCAATGGATGCGACACCAACTGATTCAGTTCATCCACATTGCAATCGTATTTTTTTGCAGCCTTGTAAAGCAGATACATGATGTCATTGCTCAATGGTTGACCAATACAAATAAATTTGTCTTGTGGTGGGTTCTTGTCTTTTACCGCATCCTTTGAAACTTTGGCCACAAATTTTGTAAACTCGCCTCTGAGCTGAACGACACTCTTTGCCACAATACCATGACGGTCAATATCACCTGCCTTACGAAGTCCACTTGCAACACTTCTTGCCTGATCAAAACCTTCGCGACATATTCGACAAAACTCATCTTCATTGTTAAAAGCGGCCTCCTGCCATGTAGTATACATTGAGGAACTAAGCATGCACGGTTTTGATTGAGCCCACACGGCATTGACGCCAGTCTCAATATACCATGTAACCTGCCACAACTCTAGAACCTCAGTCTCTCGGATCCCCTTAAATCGAATCCGCCAGTAGGTGGCGCTGACATTCATCGCCCACGAAAGTGAATTGCCAACTTGGGAAAAAAGTCGCTTTGCAATGGGGACGTAGTCCACGCCATTTTCACTTGTCTCCACAACTACTGTTGCACCGCCTTCTTCTACTTCTTCTCCTGCTGCAACAATGGCGTCCCCAGCATCCGCCGCATCCGTACCGCCATTACGGATCCCATTTGCTCCAAAACGTTTTGACATCTTCATGGGTAATAAAATAGAAGACACCGTAGTTGGCTTAAGTTGTGGCGAAGGCGATGCTGAATTTGAGGTGACGGATTTGAAAACCGTCCGTCCCCCCAAGAAAACCTGACAAAAACGTGGCGTTGTGCCGTTGCTAAACACCCATGTAACTGTGACCATTTCCTCCTCTTCCTCCTCTCTGGAGCGTAGCACCACACTATCGGTCTCATTTTCTGTCAGACGTTTGGCGGCCTGCACCTCAACAAATCCGGTTGTGACCACCTCCACTGATGGGACATCACCAATTTGGGCGGAAACGAGTGTTGTTCCACCAAAGCTATACCACTGGACACACATGTTCGTGGGAAGAGAATACGAAAGTGTCGTAACATCTCCTTCGCCCTCCTCCAGTGCAGGACGCAAACGCCAATTGGAAGAGCATCCCCTTGGCATCCATCTCTGACGTACCGTATGTGAACGTGCCGTGTCAACGTTTTGGATGCTCGCTACTTCTTCCCAAATGGCACCGTCAAGCGAGAGCTTCTCCACGACGTACCTGGAATTGGGCGGCAACACTGTTTGAAGAGCAACCACTTCTTTAAGTTTCGTCCCAAGACTTAGTTCACAACCATTGTATCCTCCATCCACATTATTCGACTCCACAACACGATACAGCGCCGACTTGGAAATCTCAAAGCAAATATCGCGCAGCATCAGTAAGGGTGGCCCTGTGTGTTGCACAATACGAAGACGCCAGAAGCGATAATAACCGCCATTGTCCCACGCAGCCTGTGCTGAGCCATTGCGTAGTAGCAATGACACATTGATCGTTCGCCATTCCATGGTGTTGGAACTGCACTCAATGACAAAGTTAGTAGATGTATTTTGTGTTCCGTGACTAACCAGACGCACGCCAACGACGTGGAGAGGAGCTTGCTTGCTGTCAAACACCACTGCCGTTCCTACATTCGCCGAAAAGATCATGGGCGAAACTTTGCATCCAACGCAGTTTTTTTCCCACAACAGCGATGCATCCCACCCATCTCCAAACAATGTTGAATTTTCCAGAGCAAGCGAGGGACCAAGGTACTCAAGAAGGCAAAGGTCCTCGAACAACACGTTAGGCTCCCACGTTTGCAGTTCAATGCGCCAGTACTGTCGAGGTCCTCGAGGTTTCCATAAGGCTTTAAAGTGACGAAAACGACTGCGCCACTTCCCACACTTCTCCCAGTGGTCACCATCGTCACTGCACCAGACACTCCAGATGACAGTCACCGGAGCACCCACAGATCGGCAGGCAAACGCCATCAAATTAGGCGAATTCAACTTTTCGTAACCCAACGTCATATGATGTATTCCCGGTTTACACTCCCCTCTAGATTCTGTTGCAGACTCAAATGTCACGGTTGTTTTCGCCTCCACAAATAAGGTGGAGATGGGTTTATTCAACGTACCAGAGAAGGCAATTTTACGCGCCGACTGCAAATATGGTGAACATGGTAACGTAAATAAGTCCATAGCCATATAGAGTACTGGAGGACGTTCCACATCACGACCTTGACGCGCCTCCGTTGTTAAACGCCAGAGTCGATGAGAGACACAAGCCACGCTCGCAAGTCCCCACCTTGTACGACTGAGTGCAGAGGATTGCAGATGATGACCAACAGTGTTCCACTCCACCCCATCATCACTATATTCAATGAGCCAATCCTCCTCACAGGGTTCTGAACTGTGCATTGCAACTCCAGTCAGCAGAGGTGGTCCTTCCTTGAAATCAATACAAATCACAGAATCATACCGCCGCCTCCCCCAATTCAAATACCATGTAATGGTGCTAAACAAATCACATTGACGTACCGACACCGGACCAACAGTGTTCGTCACCGTGTCATCAATCACAGTATGAACAGCCACGCGGTCCTCGCAAAAGACATGGAAGCGTTTTGGATCTTTTGGGAATGATACAGCGCAGAGCAACGGTTTGTCATCAAATTCAGCGTGATAAAAATAGGGGCAGTTACGAAGAACCATCGGACCCTCCACGACCTCCAAAGTGATAATGCTCCAGCGCAGCACCTGTGAAGTTTGTAGAAGGAAGAATTCGCCAGGACAATCCCATATTTGAACAATATCCTCAATCTGGTCCAGACTCCACGGTAATCCCTTAAAGAACGCATTGGGACTGTTTTTACTGTCGTTTTTTTCTACAGCGCCGAACTGCAAGTTCCACAGTATAATATCTTTCCCATGAAGGAGTGCCACAACATTCGGATTTTGTGGATTGGGGTAAAATACGGCATCAAACCCGTTTGAAAAGGGGTATGGTAAATTTGCAAACCCGGGGTGTCCCGCAAGAGGAATAGAGCGATGCGAAATCACAATATTATGTTCAATATCGAATTCAAGGAAATTTTTACCGCAAAAAAAAAGGCAAAATTTCCCATCTGGAAGAAGCGGCAAAATGCAGTGCTTATTCAACCAGCCATGACTGGTAGAGGAGGCAAAAACAACCCCAGGGGTGAGAGATAGCAGGAGTTGCGTGGGCTTACAGAGAATGTGGGGTGCTGTGATATTGACATTGGTAGACTCATGCGGAGCATGCGGGATGCAGGGATCTAACGGAATAGTCCCAAGCGCACAAAAAACTTTGTACCATAGGAGTCGTACCACGCCCGTGTTTACAGGTAATCTTGTCAAAAAACGAATCCGCCAAAAACGAGCAGCAGGTGCATCACCCCAACACGTGGCAGTAACATAAGGTAGAAGAACAAAACGTGTGTGTGCAATGTATACAATACCGTCAACACTACTCTCAACCACAGCCATAATTGGCGCAATACGAAGCACTCGAGGGTCCAAGCGTGCAGTATCCAGCACAACCACAAGAACACCAAAGTCAACAGGATTTGTAGAACCATAATCCACATCTATCACCTGCGGTGGGCCATCAAGCATACTCTCTTCGGTTTGAACGAAAATAACCTCTTCACATAGTAGCGATGATGCAGTACACTTAATATCCCGTCGGGTAAGGCTGAATAGGTTTTCCAATTCATCTCCTTTCTGAGTAAGTGTACTGGTAATTGTCTTTACCTGATCTCTTACGTGGTGCGAAGTATCCAAAACAACGCCACAACGATTGCACTCTGCTTCAAGAACGCACTTACAAACACCATGCAGAGCCGCTGTGGTCATCTGCTGTAGCGCTAATGGAATTCGTGAGAAACAGGATGCAGGTATTGTCTGAAATGCCTCAAGTGCCAATGTTGGCTCAGCGGAAGCAAAGCTGCACACAGTTGCCAAACGACCATCCCGTCCAATCAACATCACCCTCACTTTCTCTACTAGAGCCGAATCTTCTCTTGTTTTAGAAGCGCTCTCCGTACTCGATTCTTCCGCCTGTTCGTCGCATGCTGGTGGTGTCTCTTCGGTGCTCCAAAGCAATGTCGTCATGGGCCCGTAAGGAAACAGCTTTGCAAGCGTTGTGCCAAAGGTTGCAAGGTTCTCTTCACTTGTCTTATCGTCCCCAATGCGTCTCACACCACCAACCGGTTGCCGCTTTTCAAAGTCAAATACTATATACATCAGCTGCGAAAACAAAAATGCGCATGAAGTGTTGGGAATTGGCACAGCCGCGTCAATCCTGTACATAAATTCCGGCGGCAACTCCGCAAACTGTCTGTGAGTTTGTAGTTTAAATGGACCCCCTGTGCAGGTCTGCCAGTACGCGTCCCATTCAATCCACCGCTCACCACAGAAGAAATACACTGTGCGCGGATTCACTGGCGAGTTCAACGCACAATCAAAACCAGTAGTAAAGGGAAAACTCCTCGCAAAATGGCTTCCCAGTGTGGGATGCAAAGGCTCTGTGAGGGTGTGATTTTTGACATTTATGCAACAGATGTGATCCTTAATGAAAAACATAGCATAGTCTGTCAATTTCCCATCTGCATTTGTGAGACGGATGGAGTGCCACGGATAACCAACAAGTGATGGAGGAATAATATCACATTCTTCCGCCATAGATCGCGCTGTGAAACCCGCGGTAAGGCCAGATGCAAAGGAAGAAGAAAAAAAGGAATGACCTTCCCTTCTACTGGAACGGCGAAGTTCCTTAATCGACTCCCGATCTTCCCTTACCTTCGTCCAGCGATTCTCCAGCTTGTCCAAGAAGGTATCCCGTGCCTCCTTGGCAGACTTCTTTTCCGTTGCCGTCTTGGACATTCGTTTTGTCACAGTCTTCTTAGCTGGATGCGGCTCTGGAGGCCGCGACACCACCCTCACAATTGGCTTTTTCTCGGTTCTCAAGGGCGACCACTCTATGCGTGCTTGCCGTCGCTGAAGGTCGGAAGATGACAAGATCTCGACATTCTCCTGCAGCAGCACAGAAAGTGGCGGATACTGTGAGATTTGTTGGGCGAGTGCACTTACCCACTCTATCGACTTCAACCCAAGTACCTCATGAATATAGAAAAACAGTAGTGAGCGTGCGCTACTCATAAAAACAATTTGACGTAACATCTTCAAGAGCGCTGTCTGCGTCTCCGTCACCTCACGATCGCAACCGCGGTAGATGAAAAAGATCGGGGGAGGAAGATGGCAAAGGGCCTCACACACCACCTTGGTGCACTCAAGGCGGTGCCGTGTCCTCCAGTTAAGAGCCTCCTTGCAGAAGTCATACAGCCCTCGTAGCAGTGGGAGTTGTTCCACCAACTGTGTGGCTTGCTTTGGTAGCACCCGTGCGGCGTACAGATTTTGTCGATGACCCCTTGATATCATGTACGCCGCGGCGTCAACGAAGATGTACGCAGCACCCGTGACACACAAATTGAAGACTCCACGTGGAATGTAAAAAAAACCCTTGTTACCAACCCGCGGCCCAAAGTTACCTTGGCAGATGAGGTAGAGGGCATTGTCAATGCTCGTCTGGCCAACAATCTTAAATGTTGTCAAAAAGCATTGCTGCAACGTTGACTCGTTCGGCACCACACCTCCTGGAAACACCATCCACTCCAAGGAAAACTTCATAGCGACTAAGACCGAACACCGTTGATTTCGGAACGCCCAGAGAGCTGACCGTGCATTGTCAAAAAGGTTTCCGTGTGGTCCTTCAACAACGTAGACGCCTTGCCTTCGTCGAGAGAAAGCGACACGCACAATATCGTTTAAATCAGCGTGTTCATGCCATCTTTCCCATAACACGTAGGAATTTCGTGGAGGCTTTTTTTTTCGTCGATCAAAGGGCCCAACACCTGCAGGCAAACATCCAACAAGTTGCACAGCCTCACACGCATGACGTAATTCCATTCCTAACGCCCGAGGAGGCAGCTTTGCGAGATGCCGACCACACGCAAAGATCATATACGGGTCAATGGCTACGCCATCCATGTCTGACATGGCACTCGCAACCGTTAATGCACAGCATGTATCTTCCTCGTCAATCTCGTCAACGTATGCCGCGGAGAAGTTAAGAATGGCAAAGTCGTCACTAGGCAAATATGTAAGGGGAATATCGAGGGAAGAGATGGTAGGCTCACTTATTTTGTTACAGGTCTGCAAAACCCCACCGTAGCCATACATACCGAATCTCACAAGGTGCGTCACACAGTTCTCGGTGCAGGGACGCATATCCGTATACTGGATCAGCAATTTTATCAGACGGAGCAGCGCTGATGGGCGAAGCATGGAACCTTCTCTAATGTCATTACATACATGATGCATTGCCCGCAATCCCCCATTCGGAAGACAAACGGCATGAGTTCCACATATAGTGCATTCCTCCAACTCGGCGTCAGACAACTTTTCTCTGCGAATCTCATCATCATCATCATCACTAAAATCGTAGTCGTAGCGATTCCCGCTTTGAATGCTCCCCCTCAGCATCCTCTCCTCACCACGTACACTGTGCTTGCTCAGTGTCGTTGTTAGCTGCCCCAGATTTATTTTCAGCATGTTTTCCACACACTGCCGAAACATGGGATTCTTTGGATACGCAGCCTTCTCACCAGAGAAACATTCACACACTACGGCCCGCATTGCGGTGAAAATATCCTTCGTGAGCTGGATTCGACACTCGCTGGAGCATATAAACAAGACTCCATCACCCACCTCACAGCAGGCTAAAATACACCGCAACATGGCTTGAAGAGCGACCTCTGTTGTGGCAGGCGCCATTCTATTTAATTCATCTCCAAGGGAAAGGAGAAGGTGACCCTCAACTCTTTGATCTGGGGAATGAATGACGGGCCTGTTGCACACCAGACATCGCGAGGCCAAAATCTGCAGGCCCGCATTGGTAAAGCACTGCCTTTGAATGTGGAGATACTTTGGTGTGTCCTCATCCAAGAGGATCTCCGTCACACGTGAGTTCTGCACAGCAAGGGTAAGAAGCCGACGAGCTGCGGCCACTTTCAACGGAATACCCCGGAGATCGATCTTTCTAAGTGTACCATGTGATGCAAACGTTTTCTGTATCAAAGCGACATCATCAGTGTTGATTTCACAGTTTCGCATTGACAACTCCACCACTGGTAGCCGTTGCAACGTAGATAGAATGGGCACGATACCTCGCTCACCCAAGTAGCCGTTCTCAAAGTCAAACACAGTTACTCCAGCAAGCAACTGCTTCACAAAGGTGTTGTTGGGGTGCATGTCATGGTTTCTGCATTCTTCGCGGTAAAAGGTTTCTGCAGCGGCAGGCTTCAACTGTGGAGGTCCCACGGTGTCGCCCAAGCCCACATCCTGAGCTGTATTTAGGAGTGACGTCGGGGTGCATAGTGGGGGTTTCACAGGAGACGTCATCCTCCTTTTCTTCTTGTCGTTGTCGCTATTGTTGTTGTTCCCCGTCACCACCACTTTTGCTTTTCTGTATATTGTTCCCTTTCACTTCAACTCCCTCCGACAATCGTGTCTTGTGCTCCACGCGTCTGCAAACAACGACTAAACCAACAACATTAAGAACCAGAAGAAAAAGACGGATAAAAACAAAAAGCAACTGGATGCTCGTGACGGAAACAAAAAAGTTGCACGTGTGAGACAAGCTAGTGAACAATAAACCATTCGTATCCCGCCCCCTTTCCCTTCCCTATATTCACTTGTATCCACGATATCGTAGCGACTGGCACGACGTTAATAAGCAACAGGTGGCCCTGGAGGAACCTCACAACCCACTCATATCAAACATATCACACGAATGTTTACTGCCTTGACAGAAGACCATCGGTAGCAAGATAAAAAAAAAACAAGTAAATAAAAAAGTTCAAGGTAGCAGAGTTCTTTCCCTTCTACAAACTGAAATCTCTGCGAGTCTGTCACCTCTCGTGAGTTTTTCCTTGGCGGTGCCGCCTGATCCCCTCGCTGCAGCTGCGGTTCAACGAAACCAAATCTTGGCGCTGCACCGCCATTTGGCCGGAAGGAGTAACCGCGTCCTCATTGTGGTGCCAAGCAAATCATCCCTAAGGAGCAAAACTAGGGCTCGCGCGGACGGTATGGGTGGGGCTCCCGCACAAGCACCTCCGGACCCTCATCAGTCAACGCCAACTGCACTGAGCTGGATTCCCTCAGCCAATGCGGCCGTGGCTGAGCCTAACAAGGCACACTGACATAAATGGACAGCAATTCACTCATCGCGGTCCTTATGCATCCACTTGTCACCGCGACGATGGCATGCCTACCCACGACGTAAACCCCATGCTACGTCTGAGCAGACAATACCTCTGTATAAAACGTCCAAATTTCAAACGCAAAAGTGACATTCAACCTTTCCCGCCAGAAACAGCGTGTCGCGACAGCAATGCAAAACCTTAAAGTTCATTATTAGTTGCAGTGGCTTATTATTGCCTTGCGTGGGAAAACCCAAAACCGTCTACCTATTTGAGACCTGTGGGGCCAAATATTATCCTCACCCCCCAAGATATGCAAATCCATACCCACCAATTTGGATCGAGTTGCGTGGTTCACCACGGAGCGGTCAGTCGCACTCTCGTCAGCGGAGTTCGCATCTCCTACACGGTACGCCCCAACAATAAAAGAGCTGAAAAGTTGCACCTCCGTCACGAACGCAAAGTAACCCTCTCTGCTGAATTCCTGAACGCCACCACCACAACTCTTCCCTTCCTGTCGACAGCAAGTGCAGAGTTAAAAAAGATGAAAAACGTCCCGGAGAAGAAAGAAAATACAAGGGATCTTGCCTTCCGCACGCCTCGCCTTTTTCCTCCTCATCCCCTTCTTTTCACTTCGTCAGTGTCCAAAGTTTAAAAACCGGCAACTACCGTGCAGATGGTCTTGTTCCGCCAGTGTCCTTGCCCCCTCAAAAAGGACGCCCACAACATGGAACTTTTCCGCGACTGCCTTTTTTTTTCTTTCCGTACGCAAGCAAACAGAAAAAATAAAAGGAAAACGTGATGATAGCAATCACTTTGGGGTTCATCATGTTGCTTCCAACACATGACCGCTTCCTTCTTTAAGCCTCTGCCGCACATCGCACTTCTCGCTGTCCAAATCCAGCAGCGATGGTCACGGCATAAGGCAGCGACAAACACCAACAGAAAAGCAACAACAACAACAACGCAGCACCACCACAACAAGATAAAAATGCAAAGAACGGTTTGCCAAACAAGAAACAGCCAAAAAAAAATCGTTGCACAATAACACAGCGACGTATTAAAAATAAAGAAATAAAAAGAGGCAACATAAAAAGCAAAAAAATAGGATACAACAGTTTCCTCTCCATCTTGATTTTTCCCCCGCTTTTTTTTTTTTGGGGGGGGGGGGGGGGGTTGTCTTCTTGTTGTAC